ATGTAAAACTGGTCAATTAGCAAGAATTCATTTAAAATTAAGTCCTTTCTAAAATTTTCTCTTATACGTTTAAAGATATATTTTTTTCATTAATGTTAATGTGAAAATTTTTAATTTTGCACCAAAAGAATCTTAGAAAACTTACCTAACCTTATTATAACAAGAACAATTTATTTTAGCCTAACCCAACTAAATATATTTTAGATTTGTTTACAATAATTTAATACTAAACAAACACAGTGAAATATATTTTTTTCGTTAGGTTCAGAATGATTTTGGCGACATTATTGCATACACAAATTTTCACTTGTCCTATATGGCAAGATGAGCGTTGCTATTTAAGCCAAGATCGCAAGTTCTGCCTATTCGGCATAACATATATATATATATATATATATATATATATACAAGGAATTCGCGAGAGCATGCGAACTATACAGAAACACTGATCTCTGGCTGAAGGAGACTCGAACCTACGAACCTTAGGACAAGGTACGCAGTGCTTTACCAATCTACCCACACTGGACAATACCTTGGCGTGTAGCATGCACTACACGTTTGATCCAAGGCAGCCAGCTTTCAAAGAGAAGGCTTACAGCTTTTCATCTCATCCCCTGCATGCATCAGCCTTACTAGAGATTTGAACAATGCAAGGAATTCGCGAGAGCATGCGAAGTATACACAAACACTGATCTCTGGCTGAAGGAGACTCGAACCTACGAACCTTAGGACAAGGTACGCAGTGCTTTACCAATCTACCACACTGGACAATACCTTGGCGTGTAGCATGCGCTACACGTTTGATCCAAGGCAGCCAGCTTTCAGGGAGAAGGCTTACAGGGGATGAGATGAAAAGCTGTAAGCCTTCTCCCTGAAAGCTGGCTGCCTTGGATCAAACGTGTAGCGCATGCTACACGCCAAGGTATTGTCCAGTGTGGGTAGATTGGTAAAGCACTGCGTACCTTGTCCTAAGGTTCGTAGGTTCGAGTCTCCTTCAGCCAGAGATCAGTGTTTGTGTATAGTTCGCATGCTCTCGCGAATTCCTTGTATATATATATATATATATATATATATATATATATATATATATATATATATATATATATATATATATATATATATATATATATATATATATATATAATCGTAAACAGGCGATCTAACAATTCAGAACAAACCACAATGCTGCAAAACAACAACAGATAGGAGGGGGAAATTCGTTGAGACAAGACAGGTATCAATGGCAGCGCATGAAACAAGAAGGTCCATCACCGACCCAAACAACTACATCTCCCGTCCCCTCACACCCTTCCCGGGTAAGTGGAGGTGGACGACCTCAAAGGTTTATGGAAAGGAAGTTACAGAATTTTAATGAACGCAGTAGTCAGCCCAGAACTGCATCTAATCGATACCAACTGATATATTGCCACATGGAATCATTTTACCTAAGTATTTAATAAACCCCAAACTCAAGCTTTATGTAACATTGAAGTATTATTCAAATTCACTCATTGTCAATCCACACTATCATATATCAGAGAATGTTCCAGAAGTGCCAGCAGGACTTTACACAGATCTCTACATATTTACCTACTACCCACATATTTACGGGTCGTGCTCCATGACAATTGCACTGTTTCTTTACACTTGAACCCCCAACCGTTATAAATCACTGCCTGACTTACCTAGGCTATCCTAAGGAACTCACATATATGATATTATGTAAGTTGTAGTCACATCAACTTTTGTAACTGTATCTGTATGCAGGGCCTAAGCAGACTACTAATGCTATGGAATTCCCCATATATGGCACTACCGACGATGGAACGTGATTTCCAACTGGCGAAACGTGTTGAATAGTCTATCATAGTCTACCCTCACAACGAAACTAGAGTAATTGAGTTCTAACATGGGCATAGTCTCCTCACCTAAGAGCATGTTAAACCTCCCGGTATTCGTTATGTACTGTGGTATTTTTCCACATACTGTGACCCAGATGGATGGGATTCCCATGGGACGAAATGTGTAGGAAAGGTGCGGAGAACGCTGGTCTAACATCACTAAATCCTCACGAGGACCCGTTACATAATGAGCAATCCGGGTATTTTGTATAGCATCCTTACTTGTGACTGTACACAAAAGTCTCAGCTAAATTATTTTACCTAAGTGGTTAATACACTCAAGTTTTATGTTCCAGAAAGTGCCACCAGAGAAGATTCTCTACAAAGATCCCTAAATATTTACTTACTTCTATAATATTTATCTATCATTTTCATGCCAGTGACAATTTTTCATAACTCTAGGACCCCCAGAAGCGATAAGTCACTCTGCCCGACTTCCTCTGGCTGCCCTAGGAAACTCACCTATATGTTGCTATGTATTTACAGTCACATAAACTTGTATAGTAGTACTCGTATATAAGGACTAAATAGGCTTACTACTTCTAGCTATCTCTTGCAGTATACCATCACAACGGCACCAGAAAAACTAAGAAATGACAAGGGCATAAACTCACCTAGACCTTCTTATATGAGATGCTATACTTTTTTGGAATTGCGATCTTCGATAGGTGAAACATGTGGAACAGTTTATCATAGTCTACCCTCAAAAAGAAACCAGAGAAATTGTCGATAACAGGGGCATACTCTCACTCCCACCTATGAGGATGTTAAACCTCCTGGAATATCCTATATACTGCGACACAAACGAATGGGATCTGCGACGGCAAAACGTGCAGAACAGGTGTGGAAAATGCTGGTCTAATGTCACCAAATTCTCATGAGGACCCGTTACATAAAGAGCAATCCTGGGATTTTGTATATCATCCTTGCTTAAGATTGTGCACATCTGACTCTGCTCAATAGCAGTGACTTCGTACATTCCATCGCTTAAGTTATACAAAGCATTTCTATTATGTTTTATGAAAGAAGATTCAGTTATGTTCCTTTCCATTACTGAACTATTGGGTACAATGACCGAGCTGCTGCCCACCTTGGTGGATGACTGCTAGTACTAAAGTGAGTAAAGATTGCATTTAATTCCTGATCTGTCTTTAATGAGTAATAATGTTGATCTAGTCTGATTTCCAGTAGTTTACCTGTCTGCTCGACGTACGAAAGAGATCATAGTGTACATGAGACCTTGTAAACTCCACCAGCAATGTTGGGTGGTGTATTCTTAATAAACTTCTGCTTCACTGTCCAGATGTTCTTGAAAACAGTATTTATAATGAACATTTTTATTGCATTACGCAGGCTGGCCATATTCTCACTGTAAAGCAAAACCAGTATATTTTTCCCAGAAGGCACTTCCCCAGGTTGAGTCCCGTAGAAAGTCTTCTTGACTGTCAGTAACTCCTTCTAAACAAATTCTTTGGGATATCTCAGTTTAGTGTCTATGTCGAATATCTTATTAATTATGTCATCAAAATACTCAGGGCTACAAATACGTAGAGCTTTCAAGAATATTGTAAGGAAAACGCTCCTATATACCCTAGATTCGTGACTGGGACAATATTGAATGTATGACGGCACATTAGTTGACTTTCTTTTAACTGTAAATTTAAATTTCTTGTTAACAGGATGGATTAGTACATCTAGGAAAGGAAATTTATATACTTTGGGGTCTGTTGTGAACTTAACTGAGGGTATTAAACCAATGAATCTAGGAAGTAGCTCATCAATATCGTGAACTCTTGGCCACAGAGAAAGAACATCTTCTACGTATTTGAACAACTTAGCTTTACTAGGGAGGGTATCTTTAAGGACTCTAGTTTCACAGAATTCCATATACAAGTTACTGAGTAAGGAGTTAGGAGATATTTCCATGGCCATGTTATGTGTTCGAACATAGTATTTAACTTCAAATACGAACATAGAGTTCATAACACAGAGCTTAATAAGTTCAATAATTATATTATAACGACGTACAAAATACTTAGATTAATTGATATGGTGGATTTACTGGCAAGAGGAGTTCTGTAGCACTAATATATATTTTATTTCTGTGTCATTGGTCAGTCTAAAAGGAGAATTAGATGGTTATTAAATTTTTGAAACAAAAACATTGTTTACGCTAGAAATTCCATGAGCGACTTACGTATTTTAAATTACGGCTTCTAATTTACATCCTTTCATAAATATGTAAGTGCGTTTTTTAATAATTACGTCAAAAATTCATATTAATATATGTTAAAAATAATTAATTCTGCAAGAAATATTTTTCTAATAACATATATGTAATAGTTGATAAATATTAGGAAATATGTAATGTACTTTTAACAATAATAATGTCAATAATAGCAACAAAAAAAAAAAAACACTAGAAACACCAACAATAACAAAACCAACATAAACAACACCAGTAAAAATATAAACAACAATAAAAACAGGAATAACAAGAGCAGGAAGATCAATAATAAGAAGAACAAGATAAAAAAGCAACAACATAAAAACAAAAAAAACAACAATAATAGCAACAAAAAGAATAAAAACAACAACAGCAACATCAAACAGAAAACAATAATGACAACACAACAGCAGAAACAACAACAGTGAACAACATTAACAACATTAACAACAATGAAACAACAACAGCGAACAACATTATAACAACAATGAAACAACAACAGCGAACAACATTAACAACAATGAAACAACAACAGCGAACAACATTAACAACAATGAAACAACAACAGCGAACAACATTAACAACAATGAAACAACAACAGCGAACAACATTAACAACATTAACAACAATGAAACAACAACAGCGAACAACATTAACAACATTAACAACAATGAAACAACAACAGCGAACAACATTAACAACATTAACAACAATGAAACAACAACAGCGAACAACACTAACAACAATGAAACAACAACAATAAAACAACAACAAAAAACAAAGACAACAAAAACAACATAAACAACTCATAAATGATAAACAGACAACAGAACGACATATAAATGATACAGTATTGATGTCTCCCCCCACAGGTGTCTTGGTACAGACGACGCGGAGATGAGATACACCTTATCACCTTTGGTTTCCACACCTACCATAATGACGACAGGTGAGGTGACACTCACACACTTCATCTTTTTTGAGATTCTCTACAATTTTCTGCAACGTAAATATATCGAATTTCGGTCATTATATGGAAAAGCTGGAGATAAATGGTACAAAATACCGAGAAGATGGAAAAATAAACACAAGTGAATTGTACAAGAATGGTATATAATACCGACAAGATGAAATTAAGACACATGTGCAACATCTGGGTATCTTTATTGTAAGATACCCAGATGTTGCACATGTGTCTTAATTTCAACAAATGCATTATAATGTGATCCTTTATTCACAACGTTTCGAAACGTCACAAACAGTTTGTGTTTACTTTTCGATATGGAAAAGTTGTTCGGCAGAACTCACTTATTTCTCATCGTAGAAGTATGGTATCCAAACCCAGTAAAAGTATTTATTTCCTGGGATTTTTTTTTTCAGTTTAATAGATATTACGTAACTGCATAAATAGTTTCATAAAAAAAAGATTGGGAAAAAATGCGTTCTGGCCCACTGAACGCTGCCATTTGTTCCAGTAATATTCTCAGTCTTTAAACAAGTATAATTCATATAAATTTACTTTTTATTACATGTTTCATAGCTTCAGTAAATATTAAGGCGAATGTTTACAATAACATGGAGTAATCTTCTGTGTTTATTAGGTAAGGTTACCTTTTGTTAAGTAAAAGGACACAAGTGCAATTAATGAGACATTTTATTGTGGCAACGTTTCGCTCTCCATGAGCTTTATTAAGCCGTTACAAACAATACAGCGAAACAGAGGGTATATAAAGGTATACAAGTACAGCATAATATAAACACGTACGTTGCATAAGTGTCTCAATCTTCAACTTGTCGGTTTTGCAAACCTACAAGTTGAAGATTGAGACACTTATGCAACATATGGGAATCTTTATTAATAAGGAAACGTTTCGCCACACAGTGTCTTCATCAGTCCACTACAAATCAGAAAGGGGTAAGGAGAGGAGGGGTTCAAGGCAATCAGTCCCTCAGTCTGGAATCGATGTGTTCAGTCCACCACTCTTGTAGAAGGTACAGCATAGGGCAGGAGAAGTGGCTTATATACTGTAGCCAGGTGAGTCGAAGCAGGAGGAGGGATCACAGTGGCACCATCCAGTAGTAGTAATACTTGTGGTGGTACTACTACTTGTAGTAGTAGTAGTGGTGGTGCTAGTAGTAGTAGCAATAGTAGTAGTAGTAGTGGTGGTGGTAGTAGTAGTAGTAGTAGTAGTAGTAGTAGTAGTAGTAGTAGTGGTAGTAGTAGCAGTAGTAGTACCTACAACTTTCGTATTATGCTTTACACCTCACTCCTCTTTACACACACTCCTGTGTGTCCTGCATTATTGTAACGCCTTGACAAATCTCCTGGAAAGCGAAACTTGGATACAATGAGACGTCACATTAGTTGTACTTGTGTCTTTTTACCTAATATATTGTCGGTAATTTTATCAGCATTATTACTGTTTTATATTGGGTTGGATTTGCTAGATTTTGATATGGTTATAGTGATTAGGATGGGTGGGAATGAGTTGGTTTTCGATAGCTCCTAACCCTACCTCACCAAACATAACTCCACCTAACTTATTAAAAACACCGAAAAAACACTATTTAACAATTTGCCCACAAAAAAGTGATTTAATTGCAAAACACATTTTATATTGTGTAATGCGAAAATTAATTATAACTCCGGAAAGCAGCTTTTCCAAATGCTAGCCAGAATTTCAATGTTTTATATTTGAAATTAGTATCACATGTTGAATGGAACAAAACTCATCAATGTTGCCTAAAATAAGAGGTGTAACATATATTTTTTAAACATGTTCATATCGACTAAAACTCTTTCATTATGAGGCAGAAATGAATTAACAGGAAAATGGGAAGATATTCGAACCATGGTCTGTGTACATACCAAGCCTAACATTTTAATCATTCAGCCACGGAGGTTACAATACGATAAAATAACAAGGGCAACTGAGACTTGGTTATATCATTGGCACCAACTATAAACCAACTGTGCCATCCTACAACTCCATAAATTTTCCTGGTACATCTATTCTCGTACTCCTTCAAATGAAGATGAGAGAGCAGTGTAACAGTTGCTGCAGCTTATAATACTGTTCATAGTTGTGCTGGTTAAAAATAATTTTATTGTAAACTCCGTGACTGAGTGATTTCAGCACTGAACCAAATATAAATAAGGAGCAGAGTTAAAGTCCCCACACTATATTCTGTTTATTCGTGTATAAATAAATACACACACATACACGAAGAGAACAACAGAGCGATGGTGGACACACTGGATGAAGTGGCAAGAAGAGCTCTTCGCGAGCAGAGCAAAGTTACTGGTTACGGGCGATTTCAACCACAGGGAGATCGATTGGGAAAACCTGGAGCCACATGGGGGTTCCGAAA